GAGCATGTTGGACCTTCCTAGGCGGGAGGAGATATGGCCGCATTTTACAATAAACTTCCGCTGGGTCGCTTAAAAACAAATATTGCAAATCGAATCGCAATATTTGTCAGAAAGATCGCAATTAGATTTTTTCCCAAAATCGTGCAGCCCAACCCTGTTGAAATGCTAGTTATGGTTTATTAGCAAAAGGTATGACCTTCACACAAAAGCTTACTTTGGAAAATTCACTAGGTCAGAATGAATGAAACCAAAAAACAATTTACATTAGTTTAGTACAAAGAAAACGGTAATACTAGAGCTGTACTTGTAAATATCAAATGTATATCTTATTTTTAAACATGTTGATATTGTATATAAATTAGTAGTAGGACAAAAATAATACTAGCATTTTTATTTTCCATTGATGAGAGGATTTGCCATGAATGATTGTAACACAGCCTCTCCTTTTATTAAGGCTGCATTCACCTGCATCCGCAGTCTGTGGAACAGGAAGCCGCTGAAGGTGTATGGAGGCAGGATGGCTGAATCCATGCTGGCCATCCTCTGCCACATCCTGAGAGGGGAGCCTGTTATTCAGGAGCGTCTGTCCAAGGAGACGGTGCGCCCGGAGGAGGAGGCGGCAGCGGCGGTGGCTGCTGCTGCTGCTGCGGCTGTGGCTGCTGTGCCCTCCACTGTTTCCCTGGCACCGAGCGGGGGGGCCCCTGGAGCATCTACAACAGCTGGAGAGGCACCGGCCGCCGTGGCTGCAACAGTACCTGCGGTGCCGGCAGGAGGATCAGCTGATGATTCAACCAATTCTACCCCCCGCCGTGATCCCCAGGTTAACCAGGCCCAGCTCACACAGGTATGTGGGAAAGTTCGCTGACACTCAAACTCTTTCAGAAAGTGGGTTTTCTGATGTCTGTGGTTTCTTTTTGTTACTCCTAATATATTGTACGATTTGTACACACATTGCCGTAACGCATTCCTGCTCTCTTTTGAAATTGGAATTGTGTACACCTTCAGCTTGCTGTAACACCACAGCAGGCTGTTAAGACATCGCCGGTTACCTATATAATATTATTTTGGCATTGTCCGGTTAGCCAGACACTAGTAAGGAAGTGCTGTGTCTCCCACCTTATTCCCCATATTTTGCATGCACTGAATCCTGGGCAATAATTAGTCTTATAACAGGAGATGTGGAGTGAGACAGAGAGGCTCGCCAGCTGCATCTCCAGCAGGTATAAGAGCCATCAGGGAGAGTGGGAGAAAGTTAGAGGAAAGATTAAAGAGCATCTTGCAGGTGTTTATTTTTTCTACATTTATGCTTAAACTTGCTTGAAAATTACAATTAAAAAAAGTGAATGTAGGATTTGATATGTTTTTATAAGGGCAGGAATTCAGAGGGAAAGGAGCAATTTTGAGCTCTGCTCTTAAAAACTTTTTTTAAGAGCAGAACGCGTCATATTACATCACAAAGGATAAACAAACATCTCCGCTCTCTGACCGCGGGTATAGTTAGTAGTTGCGTTGAGTTGAGAGGTTGTGTTTTAGTGAGCTGGTATTTTTCGGTAGTTTTACATTGTATTTCACCATTTGTAATCATGGTGCAGTATTGTGTTTGTGCAGGTTGCACAAATACCAGCCTGTCAGGACATCGAGTCCACAGTAAAAAGGACCGGAGCTAGCGTTCGTTCCTGGGTGCGTTTTGCATCCACCTCCCTGCAGCACATACTCTCCACAGCTTTATCAGGAAACCGTATTACTTCTCTCTTCCCCCCCCNACCGTGGTAGGCCAGTTTCTTATCGCATATTTGGCACACTGCCTTCTTCTTACCGTCGTCCAATTTAAAATGGTCCCACACAGCTGAAGTCTTCTGCATTTTGTGGGTGAAACGAGGTGAAGCGAGGTGAAGCGTGCCATAGCGTGCCATTTGCGTTCGTGACTGTGAGTGAACGCGATGTCAGGAGCACAGGCTGAGATTGTATATATTTCTGCATTTTAACAGTGCAATTCAAAAGTATAAATATAGTATAAGAATATTGCAATTCGCCTTTATTAATAGCATACATTTAGAAAAAAATATATATATATTTTTTTGAAAAAAAAACGAGTATCCTAATATTGAAATTGAAACCCGAATAGTTGGCCAACGAACTAATATTCGAATATTCGGGTACAGCCCTAGAGAATACCCGCACACTACATCCATGCTGTATACATGTTATGGTTAGTTGTGTTGGTAGAGTTAGCTTGGTTCCCTTTTTATGATTTATTATCTTTCTTTGGGGCAGGTAAACGAAGAGACTGGTAACAGGAGGCCGGTGATGTTGACGGTCCAGAGAGTGCCTCGTCTGCCCAAGCCCGCCAAGGCTGGTAGCATTACTGACTCAGAGAGAGAAGAAGGAGAAAAAAGCAAAGTAGAGGAAACCCAGACTGACCTGGACTCCGGAGTAGCAGTGGAGATGAGCGTTCCTAAGGATGAGTCCAGCCAGCTGAAGGAGACCCCAACCGGCCCCTCACCTTCCCTGGAGACTGAGAACTCTCCGAGCGCTGATATTGTCGTACAAGGCCTGACCGAGGACATGACCACCGTTCTTATTCGTGCCTGCGTCAGTATGATTAGCGTTCCTGTGGACCCAGACACCCTACACGCCACACTGCGTCTTTGTTTGCGTCTTACACGCAATCACCAGTACGCTATGATGTTTGCTGAGCTGAAGAGCACCCGGATGATTCTGGGGCTGACGCAGAGCTCCGGCTTCAATGGCTTCACCCCGCTCGTTACCCTGCTGTTCAGGCACATCATAGAAGATCCCGCAACTCTGAGGCACACCATGGAGAAGGTTAGTCTCTTTAAGTCTCTTATCGTTTTTAGATGGATCTCACACTAAGTATATAGTCTTAAGATATCTTTTTAAAAATTCTTAACAAGCTTTTGTATCAGGTTGTGAGGTCCGCCGTGACCAGCGGAGCAGGAAGTACCACCTCAGGAGTCGTGTCCGGAAGCCTTGGTTCCAGAGAAATCAATTATATCCTTCGCGTCCTGGGCCCCGCTGCCTGCCGCAACCCAGAATGCTTCGCTGAAACTGCCAGCAACTGTGTGCGCATCGCTCTGCCTGCACCACGGGGAGCCGGCACAGGTGAGTGTGCAAGTTTTTCTTACAAGGTGCAGTGACTTTAGATTAGAGTTGACCTTACGTGTACTCTAGATTGGATTGATAGATTTATTTAGTTTTCCAGTTGTTTTTAATGTAAGATAAGCTCATCAAATCTTCTTTTCGACAGCCTCTGATGACGAGTTTGAGAACCTTCGAATTAAGGGACCTAATGCTGTGCAGCTGGTGAAGACCACTCCTCTAAAACTGTCCCCCCTACCCACTATTCCTGAGACTATCAAGGAGGTCATCTATGACATGCTCAATGCTCTGGCTGCCTACCATGCTCCTGAAGAACGTAAGACATGTTAACAAGATCCTTCCAGCTGTCTCTTTGAAGGGCATATATGTCATTTGAAATGGAACTAGTCATTTGAACACTTTGGCTAATTGTGTGTGTGTGTTTGGCACAGCCGAGCGTCCAGAGGAGCGTGCTGCAGCAGCAGCAGCAGCAGCAGCGGTGCCTGGTGGAGCAGACCTGTGCCAGATACTGCAGGATGTTGGTGATGACGTCTACCAGCAGTACAGGCTCACCCGGCAGGGCAGCGACTTTGACTCTCAGTCTGCATTCCATATCAATGTGAGTGTAAATGACCAGTTGACCTGTATTGAAACATAAAATGGGTAGTTTCCTCAGTTAATACAGTGCGTCTCTTTTTCACAGGCTCAGGTGTTTTCTGCTGATGGAGCCGTGGCTGAGTCTTCCCAGTCTGGCACACCACAAGGAGAAGGTGAGTCTTAATGTTGTGTTTTTTAAAGAACATTTTTGAAAAGTAACTGCACATAGAAGAACTTATCAGGCTTCTTATTGTGTAGTTTATGGCAAAGTTCTGTAAGAGGGCAGCAGAGAGTCATTCAGTCTGTACTGTAATTTTTATCACAACGCAACAGTTTGGTTGCACCACTAATTAAATTAAAGGATGACTTGAAAGCATAATTAAAATCATACTGGAAAGCATTGCTTTTGATTGTTCATGGTTATTTGCCAAGTTTAAAATCGACTTCAAATGCTCCATTTTAGATTATTACTGTATATGATCTGTGTATCCATAATAATTGTGTTATGCTAACATCCTCAGCTTCCACGCCAGAAGAGATGCGGGAGGAGAAGAAAGAACAGGAGGGAGAGAAGAGTACCAGCTCAGAGGAGGGTAAAGCAGCCAAGGTAAAGGCTAGCAAGCCCCTAATGCCAACCTCCACCATCCTAAGACTGCTGGCTGAGCTGGTGCGCTCCTACGTGGGCATCGCCACTCTCATCGCCTCCTACTGCTACACCGCTGGACAGTCTGAACTTATTAAAGAGGTAGGCGTTAACAGAAACAGCCTCTGTATTTCAATGCCTCATCATTATTTTTTCTTAACCTCTTGTTTGTGCTTCCCTGGGTCCCAACAGGACTGCAGTGTTCTAGCTTTTGTGCTCGACCACCTACTGCCCCATACCCAGAATTCAGAAGACAAAGACACCCCCGCCCTGGCTCGTCTCTTCCTGGCCAGCCTGGCAGCTGCCGGCACGGGCACTGATGCCCAGGTTGCGCTTGTCAATGAGGTGAAGGCTGCCCTCAGTCGTGCCCTAGCAATGGCAGAGGGTACCGAAAAACATGCCAGGTAAGAAGCACCAAACAAATAAACCAACTTTGTATTCATTAAGTATTATTATTATTATTATTAGCTGATGAAACCAGTACTCCTATTCTCACTCTTTGTCGTAACTCACTTTTCCCAGGCTTCAGGCAGTAATGTGCATCATCAGCACCATCATGGAGTCCTGTCCCTCCACGTCCAGCTTCTACAGCACAGCAGCGGCCAAAACACAACACAATGGCATGAATAACATCATAAGGCTGTTTCTGAAGAAAGGACTG